GGGGCGGGGGGACACGGGACGGATGTGACAACCGGGCGCGGTGCCGCGGGGGAAGGGGGGCTGCCCGGCTCGCCCCCGTGCCGCGGCGGTGCTGTTCACTCTGAAGCGGAATGACGGCGCTCGGCGCGACTCTCGCCTCCCCCCCCGGTTTGGGGCCCGCGGGAAGCGAGGGCGGCGAGCGGCGGGGCTCGGGGGAGGCCTCGCCCCCTCCCGAGCCCCAGCGGGGGCAGGTCGATAGACCGGCTGCAGCGAGTTTTCCTGTGTTAACTAGTGGAAATGACTTTATTGACCTTGGGTTTTTTCCCTCAGACAAGGGGAGAGAGATTTGGGTGTGGGGTGCTGACCCCCCCTCCCCGCCCCTTGCTTGCATTTGGAGGAGGGCACTGGGGAGAGAGGGGGAAAACCAGCTTCTGGTTTCGGCAGAGATGCCCAAACTTCTCATCCCCTCGGCTGTGCGCTGGTATCCCAAGTGCATCATGAGCACCCGCCTTTTATTGCTTTCCAAGGTTCTGTGGAAGCAGGGGAGTTCCAGGCTCCTGCTGTTCCCCTTTTCTACTTCACCAATGCTGTGGTGACAGCGCCTGTAACTGCATTTTCTGGTGTCAAGGATTTCCAACAGAGTATTTTCTAAATATACTCTCTCCAGGCGGCAGTTTGGAGCTGGAACAGCAGCTCGGCTGGAATCTGTAAAAGCAGCGATATTCTTCAGTGGTCAGTAAAGTGTGTGTTTTGGCTCCCTCAGCCCCGCTTCAGGACAGGGCGTGAACATGCCTATTGCCATGGGGAGAAATCAGTGGCACACCAGACCTGGAGAGGTGTCGTGAGGCGCAGTGGCAGAGAGGTGACTTCTCAATCAGTCGTGGTCTTTGCAAAACCCGGGCTGCAGCGAGGCGGTGGCTGCTGATGGGGCTGATGACACCCGAGCTGGGTGCTGGGGTTCTTTGTCTGGGTTTCTGTAGCTGCGTGTTGCAGGATTTAAACTTTGGTAATTGACATAAATGTTGCTCAGATTTTGCGAGCAATGACTGGTTACATACCCATCTAGGTAGGAATACTTAGAGCCAGCTACTATTTTCTGATGCTATTCTGAGCTGTCTTTTTGCTATTACAGAGCATAAGGAGTATTTTTTTTTTTTCTGTTTTATTTTTAATCAAGGGGGTTGTTGATAAAAGGTGTCAATGGCAACAGATGGCTAATACAAACTATTTACAGTCTTCTTAACAGTTCTCAGCTCACTTGGCTCTTGCAAAACACCAACTAGCTGAAAGTCCTGGAAGAAGAAAGATTGAAAACTGGAATGCTAAACCCTACAGGAAAAACTAAACAAAACAAAACTACAGGTTTTAAATGGTTACAGGCCTGGGCTTAATACCTTGTATAGAATTGTTTTAAAAGTCCTTGGAGAGTTGGTTCTGCAGTTACTGTGGGACAATTCTCTGAACTACAGTAGTGGAAGGGAAAGTGAGATGATCTACCAAGTGCTACTGTTGTAGAAGGATGGCATCCAAATTTGACTCTACTCTGTGGGGAAAAGAATATGAGAAGGTCAAACTTTATAGTAGGATTTGTGTTCTTTGATAATGTGAAATTGACTTTCGATAGAGTTGAGGCTTTGAATGATTTTTTTGTGGTTGTTAAGTGGAGATATTCCTGATTTGAGTTTTTTTGTTTTATTTTGCCAAATTACCTTGTTTTGATGAATGGACAGGAGCTAAATGTTTGTTCTCTGCTTACTTTAAATGTCAGCTGGGTTGACAGTGTTGCTGATGTGGCTGTGGTCAGCGGGCTCTGAAACCTGACTCCCTCTCCCAGGGCTGAAAACCTGGCTGCCACCGCTGGGCATTTTGCTTATCTGTTGCTGCTCTTCTCCCCTGTGTTTGCTGGCCAAGCTTTCCTCTCACCACCAGGAAAGGTCACTGTCAGAGCCCGTGAAACAACAAGTTTTATCCTTCATTATCAGACTGGTTCTGCACAGGTTATATGTAGGGAGAGGAGGCAAAATGAATGAAAAGGATGCCTGTGGTACTCTTCAAGTGCTGCTTGAAGACGTAAGCATTTTTATTTTTAGTATCTTATTCTAATAAATGTGCTTGATCTTAACCAATACTTTTATATTTGTGTTTCACAGAGGCCTGCTCCAGTTGCCTTGCTTGTCTGGTGGCAATTGCTGCTGTTTTGAAGCATTGAAGCATTTGAAATTGTTTAGAGAAACACAATTTCAGTTTTGGAAAGACTGAGGGGTCATTCATATGAACTGTGGTGTTATGGAGATAATAGGAGACATCTCTCTCCAGTGCAAGAGGTGCCTACGGGCTCATGGGGAAGGGTTTTTTCACTGAGATTTCTGCAGCGGGATGGATCCACAATTAGTTCTTGCTATATCACTTATTTTCCTGCTTAGCAGTGGTGCTGGTTACTCAGAGGCTGTGCTCTCTTTACCTACTTGTGTACCATATTACATTTTGACCTTCATGTGGCTGATAGTGGGGTTTTTTTGTTTTTTTGTTCCTGCCTGATTGTGTTTTATGTACCTTATGTCCAAGCTTGGTGAAATCCAGCATAAATCACCAAGGTCCCAGATGCAACTTAAAGTAGCAAGGTTTATTTGTTTTGTGTGGATGATTGTGTTTTTATAATGTCATTCATGGCGTTGTCTTCATGCAGCTGTGAGAGTTGGAATCAAAGGTGTTTTAGTTAATGCCTATTAATCATGGAGAGGCTGGAGGCAAGACACTTCAGCTTTCAAAGGCCAGGTGTTTTCTCAACGTCTTCCTGTTGGGCAGAATTAAGTAACATGTGGCATAGGATGATTTAGGGACCTTTGCAGTTGGAAGAGTTGCAAAAGTATTGCATGCCGTTATTTTGGTACTGCAGCCAAGCAGACCACGGAGTAGCTTGAGACAGTGTCTCATTCTTTATTTGTATGTTCCCAGCAGAAAGAGCTCACGTCAAAGAAAAGAGATGAGTTTGAAGATATCTTGGAGGAAAGACGATTGTCCAGCGACTTGAGATACGCGATGAAATGTTATACTCCTGTGATCTACAAGGGGCTTTCACCTTGCAAGCCAAATGCTATTAAAAGTGCTGTTCTCCAGTCAGAGCAAGTTCAATATGTTATCAAGCAGGTGAGCCTGGACACTGAGCTGTGAGACGAGGTAGACTGAACACAGCCAAGCTTTGTGTGGCAGCAGGGAAAAAAGATTATTGCTGACCTTGTCAAACACGATAGCTGTAATTTGGAAGTTGGTCCAATAAATCAGTAACTTGAGAGTCGTACTCTTTTGGCAGGAAAAACAAATACTGATTTACCATGGAGTTGCTGCTAAAGTTCATGAAATAGTGTTTTGATTTTGCATATATGACACTTCGCCATCTAACTTATCCAATGTGCTTGGCTTTTTATTTTTTTCTTTCTCTCCTCCTCCACTGTCGTCACCACAGAGCAGCATTGTGAACAACATAAGTACTCTCCTCCTTAGTAGACATTTTTGTTCTTTGATGGTGTCTTGTAGCCATTTTATAGGCTAGTGGAATCAGTCATAAATGCTACTTTCCCTAAAATGAGAGTTAGATTTCACGGAGAATTTTTTTAATTAGAAACACTGTCTAAGATGTAACCATATTTTTGTTTTAAGATGAAGGGCAGTTACTACTTTGTAATAAATACGGTATTTTATAGTCAAACTGGCTCATATCTTACATTGTGTTGAAATAAGAACGTGTGTTAGTTATCAGAGTAACTATTTTCAGTATTCATGTATGTAAGATGTTTTGGTTAGGCCCAAGTGAGTGACTGCCATAAAATTTTTCTATTTTTTTTAAGGTCAATGTTACCTATGAACCTATGATGTTATCAAAACCTGTTACGATGTGACAAACTAAACCGTGTTCTACAAAGTAGTCCTGTTGCCAGCATGAATTGCTAAGTAGTATGAAATAAAAGAAAAAAAAAAAAAGGATCTTCCAACTTTAGAAACAGTAAAACATTTACTGAATGAAAATATTTTACAGAGGATTTGACAGAAGGACACTTGTGGGATGTTTTCTTGTGAAGTGTTGCTTTTTTTGATGGAAAATTATTTTGATGGATATTTTCCTGGCTAGCACCAAGTGGTAGAAAGGGGTTAACAGACCTGCCATTGCAACCTGGCTTTGAAGTAGAGATGACTGGAAGTATCTAAGCAGGACTACCTTGGGCACTATGCCCAGCCATCTGTGATTAGTGTGCCTCCTGTCTGGGCAGAGTTTACCCAGCTTTACACAGGTGTACTAGAATTTGTTCTTGTGACAAATTGCCGAGGTTACTAATGTTCAGTATGTGAAATTAAGGGCATTTGTTTGTTTTAGCTTGCTATATGTGACACCTCTGGTTTTTTGATTCCTGATTTTGGGGCTGAGCTCTATAGTGGATGTGCACTTAATTCACACAGGATTGCCTGTGTTCTAAGCCTTTTACTGGTGAGGGAGAACAGTATCTCTTCCTGTAGTGAATAATGAGAATACTTTTTTAGCTTCCTAAGAGAGATTGATCAGTTATAATCAGTCAATAATCAGCTATAGCTACATGTGGAAATATGCAGGATGAAGGATAATGCATTTATTAAAGCACTGTTGAACCAGTAGATATGACAATAAGGTGATATATGGAGGTGGATTGGAGAAGATGGATTTTCTCATGTTTCACCAAGTAAAAATAATAGGTAAGCAGTGCTGGCCTCTAAACAGAGCTGTGCTGTTTTGGAGGCTTTTTCTTCTGCCATTCCTCCTTTTTCCTTCTGCATAAAAGGCATGGTCCTTTTTTCGTAACAGTGAAAGACTAACTTTTCCATTAAATATTTGTGGATTCAAAGAATCAAATAGGAGGGATGACCATTATTTAAATCTGCTTTAAGAAACTTCAGAAGGGAATGAGCATAGCAACAGAAAAAAGATCATTGATATGCAAAGTTGGTAGAGACAGTGCTTTGTATGCATTTCAGCTAGCCATCGCCAGAGTAGTAGGTTACAAAGGAATTCAAGCGTGATAGGCTGAGGTTCTTCAGCCAAGTCTTAAAATCTAACCCAAATACGCTTCAAAAATTTACGTTGTGAGTATCGCTGCAAACATAGGTTTCATTTTACTAGTCAAAGAAAATTGCACACAGCCTTCTTCAGACCAATAATATAGGAAATGCTCTTCAAACTTAAATCTCCTCTGAAGATGCTACAGGTTAAAACATTCAGATGGTGTGTTTGTCAGGGGGAGAAATTGTTGCACACCCTTCCCTCTGCCTTTGACTTCTAAGCTCATTCTTGATTTTGAACAGCTTTAACTTGGCTTTTTGTTATTGGCTGACACTGAACAATACAGATTCTGTATTGTTAAATGCATGCCTATCACATAAAATAAAATCTTGCTGACTATTGCAGTAGTTCTGCCATAATTGTTGTGGCACAGAGAGTGGTGTGCATGGGCAAGGAGAAGGGAACAACATCTGACTGCTATTTGGTTTGTTTTGTTTCTCTTCAGTTAGCAAAAGAGATGGGAGAATCACCTGATATTATTCAAGAAGAAGCCATGGAAATCCTGGATGAGATGGGCCACAGTATGCAATTAGGAGCTGTCAGATTTTTTGCCTTTACTCTGAGCAAAATATTTAAACGACTTTTCCAGAGGGTTTGTGTGAATGAAGAAGGAATGCAGAGAGTGAGTACTGGTGGGGGAAGGAACTTAAAAAAAACGTATAATGAGGTATAACCCCTCATCGAAAGGGTTGTCAAGCATCTGAACAGGCTGCCTGGGGAAGTGTTGAGTCTCCATCCCTGGATGTATTTAAAAGACGTGCTGAGTGACATGGTTTAGTGGTGAACTTGGCAGTGCAAGGTTAACAGTTGGACTTGATGATCTTAAAGGTCTTTTCCAACTGAAACAATTCTATGATTCTATATTTTCATACCAACTCTAATCTTCGCTCCAAGTAACAAATACAAAAAAAAAACCCTTTGAAAAAAACCACTGCACTTGTGTTTATTACTGAATTTCTCAATAAGGGGGAGGAAAGACAGATGACATATAAGTATTTCAGAGGCAGTCTGCAGGACTTTTTGTACATTTTCCAAGTGCTTCCCATGGCAAGGAATATTTGCAGTCATGTGTCACTGATTCTGTTAGATCGGCCACTGAGAGTTTTTGTATCTGATCTTATAAATATAATAATGCATTTAGCTGAAATGGGGCTGAAAACCTAATGTTATGTGGCTGAGTGGGTTGGCTGTTCTGCAAAACCTTTATAGAGTGAGGAGTGGTGAAACACTGTGCACCTCCGAGGCAGGGGATGCTTTAAGTTTGCCCCAGTTCCCTGGGGAGCTGTTGTCCCCTTCTTTCATTGCAGGATGCTGGTCTTCTGGAGGGTGCGGTGCATTCTCTGGAAGACAGCCCTTACAGCCCCTATTGGGTTTCCCATCCCCATCAAAAGGGACTCAAATTATACTACCGCATAATGGGGTGGCCCTGGCTTTTGAGTCATGTGATGCTTGTGAACCACAGGTTGCCAGTCTGGAAACTATTGCTCCAAATTTCCTATGGTTCCATGCTGAAAAAGGTATCGAGTATGTGGACAGAGAAACCACCCTCAAACAAATCAGCTTCTGTTTGCCTTATCCTGTGAAGGTCTGTATTTGCAAATTTCAGCAGTAAGTCTGTAAATATTGGAACAATATTGTTTGTACTGTTTTTCTTTCAGTTGCAACATGCTATTCAGGAGCATCCGGTTGTACTGCTGCCCAGTCACCGAAGCTACGTAGACTTTTTGATGCTGTCTTATTTGCTATATACGTATGACTTGGCTTTGCCTGTCATTGCTGCAGGAATAGGCAAGTATGTTCTTTTAACGATGTTTTCAGGATTCAAAGAATCAGTAGCAAGGGCTCTGGTAGCTGCTGTTCTAAATGCAGTCACGGTAGCCAGATATGGAGTGCCAGCCGCCTCGTGCTTGTTGCTGATGCTACTAATTCCCTTGAAGCACTGGCAGAACTCTATTATGTGAAGTGCTGAGAGCTGGCTGGGAAATGAAAATTTCCATCAGAGGTCACAATTTTGGATGTACTTCATTCTAAAGCAGATGAAGCCATTATATTTGAGGAAAACAATTCTTGAAGACTTTAACAGTAAATGTCATTTGGGTTAATGTGCTTTTTGGAAATCTGGACTCTGATAGCACTTAACTGAGAAACTTGATCTTGGAAGTCTTGGATATCAACCAGGTCTTCTAGGCAGGCAGACAACAACCCCAGGTCTGGTGCAGCGCTGTAATGGGCACAGGCAAGCCACCAAAGATCCGGGGACATACTACTCTACTGTAGTCTGCTTTTCCACTCAAGAGGTTAGGATGATGAGTGGCAAATCAGCAGAAGTTGGGAAGATGAGATCCTGCTGCTCTTTGAGTTTGTGATATCCTGTGTCTGGGTGATGTAGGTTAGATTCTGGTGAATTCAGAAATTTATGGCTCATATCTGCCTTGATGGAGGTGATGCAGCTGCTTACCTCTCGTGTATTGTTCAGAACCTGCTCACATGCTGTCGTAGGTATCGGTGTGATCCTTTGTTTACTTTTGGATTAGAGCCCTTTGGAGTTTTGGGCCTTGAAACAGTATTTTAAGATACTATTAGTTTAGCTTAGAGGGATTTTTTTTAGTGATTAACATTTTTTAAGTGTTTTGAGGTGAAAGTTCTTCAGTATTAGGAACTTAGAGCTTGATTATACTGCTGCATGTGTGTATTGTTTTAAATTCCTCTGGAGAAAGCACAGTTTTCTATGGCTGTAGTTGTACTTACTGCATATTGTTTTAGAAGTTCACAAGATGCAGTTTACAAACTCACTCTTAAAGTGGTACTTGTGCTCTCCTGATATAGGTGGTAGGTGCCTCTGCTTTGTTAGTCGTTGCTTGTTTTCAAGTAGCATACGGATAGATCATAGAATTATACGATAGTTTGGGTTGGAAGGGACTTTTAAAGGCCGTCTAATCCAAGCCCCTCTGCAATGAGCAGGGACATCTTCAACTAGACCAGGTTGCTCAAAGCCCCATCCAGCCTGACCTTGAATGTTTCCAGGGATGGGGCATCTACCACCTCTTGAGCAACCTGCTCCAGTGTTTCACCACCCTCATTGTAAAAAATGTCATCCTTCTATCTAGTCTAAATCTACCCTCTTTTATTTTAAAGCCGTTACCCCTTGTCCTATCACAACAGGCCCAGCTACAAAGTTTGTCCCCATCTCTCCTGTAGGCCCCCGTTAAGTACTGAAAGGCTCCTATAAGGTCTCCCCAGAGCCTTCTCTTCTCCAGGCTGAACAACCCCATCTCTCTCAGTCTGTCCTTATAGAAGAGGTGCTCCATCCCTCTGATCATCTTTGTGGCCCTCCTCTGGACCCCTTCCAACAGGTCCATGTCCTGCTTGTGCTGAGGACTCCAGAACTGGATGCAGTACTCTGGGTGGGGTCTCACCACAGCAGAGTAGAGGGAGTGTAAAGATCTCTGGGGATTAGCTAAGGGAAGGTAAACAGTTGCCAGTAATGCTAGTAATGCTCCTGTGGTACATTAGTGGGAATCTAGATGGTGCTGGGGTCGTGGTTCTGTCTCAGGAGCAAGTCAGATTAGAGGTGCAGAGCTGGCGAGGTGGTGTGGGCTTGAGGCACATGAAAGGACGCATTTCAGTCCCAGTTTGTGGGGTGGCAGTGTATGGTGGGGAGAGGTGCTGGGCCTGCAGCCAGCATCCTGGTTGGGAGATTGAGTATGCAGCAAGAGGGTGGAAGTAAGGAAGGAGACAGAGTCTGCTGTGGTGAGAGAGGGAGGGTAGTAGGAGAGTATTGGAAAAAGATGGACATCTGCACATGGGAAACTCTGGGCTATTGCTGCCCAGGGTCCTGTAGCCAATCTCTTTTTATCTATTTTTATCTGTATAGATATATCTCACATGTGTGTGCATGTGACACATTCTATGACATCTTCAAAGCAGTCCTTGTCAGTGTTGAGCTGGAAATGCAAATTTATTTTACTGAATGAATATCTGTTCTCAAGCATTTCATTTACTGAGGCGGCAAAGAGGTTGAAGCGGCATGTGGCCAGCTGCTGTGTGGACATGTTGTAAATGCTTCCCTAAGAAATTTGTCACAAGTTAAACATTGACTGTCATTGCTTAAAACAAGAAAACTATAAAAAATTTTAGCTGTTTTAGTGTACATCTCCCAAGGTGATGACTCGGGATCATAAATGGTATAATATAGTGCAATTGGTCAGTTAATTTCTGTGTCTTCTAGAATACATTCAGTGGTGACTGGTCTTCCTGAAGATGAGTAACATAATGTACTTCAAGAAACTTGGTTTTTATTATGGTTGAAATCTGGCCATCTAAATTACGAAAATAAATTGCTAAGTAAATGCTGCTTACAAAAAAAATTGAAAGCATATTATAATATGCCATTCATGTCTACATGCTAGACAATCTGAAAGCAAATAAAGGTATTTGCAAGAACAGAATTATTGAAAGAAACCTTCCTTATTCTAGCAATTGAATCAATGTAGTAGAGAAAGTAGTTGACTCTGGTGGCCGATATTAATCAATAAGTTTTGTGTGTGGTTTTGTTTTTTGTTTGATTGTTTTTCAGATTTCCTAGGAATGAAAATAGTCGGTGAACTGCTACGAAGGGCAGGTGCCTTTTTCATGCGACGTTCCTTTGGTGGGAACAGACTCTACTGGGCAGTGTTTGCTGAATATGTAAAAACGATGTTAAGGGTAAATAAATTACTGAACTCTCAAAATGTATGCTTAAGAAATACTGTGCTGGAATGATACATTTGAAATATGCACAATGTTATAACTATGTGATTGAGAGTCTTCATGTGATCTGATTAAATGGGTTTTCCCTCAGAATTGCTGTAGGTGAAGTGCAGGCATGCACTCTGTTGTTACTATAGTTCAGCAGTGGGTGGTAAACAAATTGCTGCTCAGACTCAATATTTTTGTTAATTTAACTATATTGTGCAGCAAATACAGTGGATGAATGTAGGCTTAAGAGATGACTGAAGTTAGACATCCATGGGTTCCATTAAAAAAACCTGACTTATATTTTAAGTAATTAAAAGTATTTGTGGGCAGTAAAGAAGAAACATTTTTTATTTTTCTAACAAGCTTTTTTGTTTGTTTTACTTTTGAAGAGTGGCTATGCCCCAATTGAATTTTTTCTTGAAGGGACTAGAAGCCGCACCGCCAAGACTCTGACTCCAAAGTTTGGTAGGTTTGTTGAAAACTTGGAACTTTTAATGATTATTAGCACTTTCATTAGTGGCTATGTGCTTCCTAAGTTCTTCAGACAGGAAGGGTTGTTAAAGTGGTGAGAAACTGGTGAGGACTTTCTGAGTAGTGGAAGGTGCAATGGTTGGAGTTCCAAGGGGATACAAGGAACAGCAATACACATCTCTTGCACTCTGCTGCTTTCTCTCCCTTTGTGTACTAAATTGCATAACTCTTCACCCTTTACTTTCTAGAAAATAGGCATCCCCTCATCAGCAGGGAAATAACTGTAAAAGTAATGGGGGTCTTTAGAAGAAAGATGCTATCTGACCGTGGAACGATGCTACTGAAAAAAAGCACAAATAGCTGTCCAAATACATTGCCTACATTTACCTTCTGTTTTAAAGCCTGGCCAATGTCTTGTGCTTCTACTTGAAAAGAGAGCGAGCACAGTGCACACCTAATTAGCAGTTTCTAAAATTTGAAGATAGCTTTTGGCCAATGTCTTGTGCTCCTACTTGAAAAGAGAGCGAGCATAGTGCACACCTATTAGCAGTTTCTAAAATTTGAAGATAGCTTTTTTCAAAGTTAAATTGCAATTGCTTTTCCCTCCTCCAAAAAGACAAGTGATTCACTTTTTTTTTTTCTTTTTTTTCAATTTGCAGGTCTTCTCAGCATTGTGATGGAACCATTTTTCAAAAGAGAAGTCTTTGACACGTACCTCGTTCCCATCAGCATCAGCTACGAGAGGATATTAGAAGAATCTCTCTATGCATATGAACTCCTAGGAGTCCCAAAGCCCAAAGAATCTACATCTGTATGTAAATTCCTTCAGAACAGAACATAGGTGGATGTATACACAACCCGTGGCACCAAAATTTGAGTTTTGCTCTTCCCGTTTTCCTAGGGGCTGTTAAAAGCCAGAAGAATTCTCAGTGACAATTTTGGTACCATACATATCTACGTTGGCCAGCCGGTATCACTTAGAACCTTGGCAGCTGGGAGAATCAATCGGTGCCCATACAATTTGGTTCCCAGGTACCCCATCCCTCCGTGGTGTATGCACAGGAAAAATATTTGTTTAGTCCTCACCTATGTGAAATAATTAACATGTTCTCTTGTACTTTGTTTTTAACTTCTCTCACCTCATCTCCCATCTGACCATTTAGACCGCTGAACCTGTTTTTGTCTGAGCAGAGGCTTATCATGCTTGTGATGGGATGTTTCTGAAACAGACTGTCACTTGCGTAGCTTTGTACTGTGTGGAGAAGATGCCATTTTAAAATGTAATGATGATGCATGAACCAGGCAAAGCTGTTTTCTGAGAACTTGGTGGTTTTGCCACTTAACAATTCCACCTGTCTCTCCCTTCTTGCTTTGTTACTGCAAACTGTTACATGGTGACGTGCCTGGGAGTTGTATTTATGATTGGATTGTGTGGCTTTTGCAATTTGTTATATAACACATAATGCTTTTTTTTTTTTTTTTAAGATAGCAAGTGTTACAGCATCAATACAGAGATCTGTGTTTTAAATACTGCCATGAAGCTACTGATGTTGTTCTCTGTCCTTCTGTTCTACATATCGCATAGATAGACTCACCCTCCAGATGTTAGGTGATGTAAAGTAGTTATGAATCTGGGAGCAATATGGAAGTAGTAAGGAAGAATATTATTTATATTCCAGTTTTTGGAACTTTTTGCCTTGAACTGCGTTGTTCTTTTCAGGCACCTTCCCCAAAAGCCATCTGAGGATATCCAAGAATTTGTCAGTGATGTAGCTTATAAAATGGAGCTCCTGCAAATCGAAAACATGGTTTTGAGCCCGTGGGTGCTGGTTGCCGCTGTCCTGCTCCAGAATTTGCCAGCCATGGATTTTGAACTTCTAATAGAAAAGACCCTGTGGCTTAAAGGCTTAACACAGACTTTTGGAGGATTCATTGAGTGGCCTGGTATGCAGAGAAAGTTATTTCTATTCCTTTTGTTGCTTATGAAGGATACATTATATTTTTGTGGAAGCACTGTATGGTGACAACTTTACAGAATGTTTTCCTTGTTGTAAGCCAGTTGTAAATGGCTTTTCGGATACACTAAAAATGATGCTAAAACCTTTCAGGTTTTGACTTAGCCTGTAGAAGATAATACTTTGAAAAACAGTTAGGTGGAAGCAGAACAGATATTTTACTGTTATATCCTGAAGTGTGGAATGAGGGGGGAAATTATAAGGTACGTACTTTGGTTTTATTTATATATTTACACACAGACACTCTGTTATATATATATAAATAGGCTGCTGAAAGGTCGGTGCTCCTTCCAAACTTTATGAACAGTTGTTTTAAACTTCTCTCTGTGAGCCAAGGTGACCCAGGTAATTAATTTTAGAGCCTCAGGACATATGTGGTAAAGCCAGCAAAGAAAAATAATGTGTAATGCAAGTACATTTACCTTTTCACTGTAGGTAGACTTAAACCATGGATCTTTGCTTTTGTAGTTATGTGTATAATGAAGGATCCTCCTCAGTACTGCAATAAAGAAATAGGAGCAGGCTACAGTTAGAACAGAACTCGGTCGTCTCTGGAAGAAAACCACTTCTCCTTTCAGGGATCTGCACTGCAGTGAATGCAGACGAGGTCTGCTCCTGCCAGACTGGTAAAAGGAAGAATTAAACAAAATTTAGAATCTTACTGCTCAGTAATCTGAAGAACATACCACATTTGGGTTTGCTTGCTTATTTTGTTTATTTTCTTAGCAACAATGAATAAGCTTTTGCTTTAGTAGAGTTGTGGTGTAGCCAGGGAATAGCAAATAAGCACGGTAATGAAATAGAGGAATGACAACAACTGAGCAGATTTAGTTGGAGTGTGCTGTCCCCACTCTAGGCATCAGTTGCATAGAAACAGGGTTGGTTGTTTTGTTTTAGGTTGTCATAATTTGAAAGAATAAATATATTTTAAAGGCTAATTTGGAGACATCGCCAAGTAAGCAACAATCTGTACACTGTCCATTCTTCTGTCTCCAAACGGCTAGTTGTTTCTGCCTTTGTCATGCTGGGTGGCTGTAACAGGCAGAACATTTGCTTGGCTGTTAGAAATTTTATATTAAAAACAGGAACTGCGAAATGACTTGCTCAGACTTCTGCTTGTGCATTGAGGCACTTGGGAGCTTTAGCAAAGTTGGAACAAAGCAGGCTGAAGGAGCAAATAAGATGCAAGGAGATTCTATGTGAGATCTATTAAGAGGAAAGAATATGTTTTGGTTTGGGTTGGTTTGGTTTTTTTTCTGTTAGAATCTTTATTGATTTGATATGTTTGTGCTGTGAACACGTAAAGCATATTTTAGTGCTTAATAAGAGGTTTTTATTGCTTCTTTCCTTGCTTGTTAAAGAGTTCACATTTGATGCAGGGAATGTTTTGGTAGGATTTAAAATGTAAGGTATTCTAAAAAGGTGAGTGTATTTTCAAGACTTGAGATGCTGCCCTTTATCTGAAGAAAGTTCAGAGTGTGTCACACTGACAAAAAAAAAAGTTTGACCAAAGCCTACAGGTTTGTAAAACTCATGCCTGCCTTTGAAGACCTTTGTTGTTTACAAGAAAAAAAAACAACCCAAACCACACACTTCCTTGCTTTAGGCATTTTAAAAGATTTTCTTAGGAAACAAGAAGAGATTTGGGTTTAAGTACAGTCTGATTTGTCTTTGAGCAGGTATATTATGTAACGATACTTACGTTAGGATTTCTTCAAACATAATTTGGGATGAGGCTTTCCTTGTATATGAGAGTAGAGGAAAAGCATTATAAAGACTCCTGCATCTGATTCAAAACTTCAAGCATCAGAAATGCCTAAGCAAAAATATCATCTCCATTTCCTTACTGATGAGTTTGATCCATCAAACAGATCTATCCTCTTTTATTTGGAGGCTCAGAATACTTGTTCCAGAGACAAAGGAAGTATTTGTCATTGTTAGCAAGTTGAAGAATTTAAAGTGCTTTAATTGCAGAAATGTCTGAAATTCATTTTCTCCATCTTATGCTATGCCTAGGCTGCCAATTCCTGGTATGGGTTATTTTACAACATCTCTCTAGCTGAATGTTTGGTGTAATAATTGGTCTTCAGTGATAAAACTTAATTAAATACTGGTGCATCTTAAGTTGTTTCAATAGAGTTGTGTTCCCTTTTGCGTGTTCCTGAGTGTTGCGTTTCCCTGCTAGATAACCTGTGTGCCAAAAAAGCAGTTGTGTCTGGCCTCACCCTGCATTCCAACATTGCTCGCCTTGTTGATGGCCACGTGGTCCTAAATGACAACGGAGTGGAAGATGGAGCCGTAGGGGAAATTGTCTTTAAGCGAGCTCTGGCCATCCTCATGTGTGCCACCTACAGAAACCAACTGCTGAACGTGTTTGTGCGTCCATCTCTGGTGGCAGTTGCCTTGCAGATGACACGCAGCTTCAGAAAAGGTACGTTTGGTTAGCTCTGAGAGTCCCCTGGCGTTGCTCCTTGCGCAGTCAGCTGTGAGAGGAGCACAAGAGTCCCACCTGCGACTGCTCGTGGGAGCCATCTGAGACTGTTAGACTCTGGATAAGGTCCCATGGCGTAAGGTGGGTGCTTGTGGAGGGGACAGGGTTATTTTGCTTACCCTTTTTGTTTGTTTACCCTTTTCTACTTTTGAAAGCAGGTATGTTCTGCTGAGAGGGCAGGGCTGAGATGAGCTGATTCCAGTTCCTAAATGTCTTATTTAGTTGGCATTTAGCAGACCAACTTTTTAAGTTGCAAATTACACACAGCTCACGGTTGCACAAAGTGCAACCAGTTCTTAGTCCTCCTTCTCTTCCCACTACTGTTCCTGAAGTATTTCAGTGTTTTCCAATACTTAGCTGTTAAAGAAACTTTTTGGAATACGTACCTTAGTTTTGTGCCGCATCTGATTGTGTGGTATTTAATGGATGTTCTGAGAAGCTACAATCCCCTGCTCTTTCCTTCTGGTAACAATTGAATCAAGTGCTTTGAGTACTTGCTGTTCTGTTGGGGTGGTTTCTGCTGTAAATGTATGCGTGCTTTTAATGTCAAGTAAAAATTTTATTTGAAGTAGGTACTCTCTCTAAAATTAGGAGTAAAGGGCTTTTCACTTGCATGTTTTAAATTATGTTTTTAAACAACAGTACAATTTTTTTTCAGAGGAAGTCTATAGCTGCTTCAGCTTTTTGAGAGATGTTTTTTCAGATGAGTTCATCTTCTTTCCTGGCATTTCATTGAAGGTAAAAACATTGTTTATACAAAAATACTGATAGTCAGTGACACAGTCAACTAAAATAGCATCTGATTTCAGGGCTCTGCTGAACGAGTGCTTTATGATAAACACATACAGTGATATCAACTTGATCTGTAAGTGGGAGGGAGAACTTAAAAGGGGGTCAGAGTAGAGGTAGTCATTTGGTTAGTTGCAAAACATTGTCTGAATCCACAAGGCTGCATATGCAATCTCTTATTATCCAGTAATAAAATGCCCAATTCTGAACCATTGAAATGAACTGTAGCAGAAGTTTGGCTTTTTTGCATAAAGTCTTCCAGCATGGATATAAAAATATGTGTAAAGCAGTCTGTTAAGTGAAGTGTAAATACTATCCTCTGCAGTTATGAAAGAGATTTCAGGCTGTGAAGAAAAAAGTGTTAATGTAGATTTAATTAAATTCTGTCAGCACAGAAACAAACCAGGAATTTTCATTGAGGGTACACCGGAATAATTTTTCCTAAAAGCTCTTGCAGGCTGTGTAGCAGAGGGGCACAGCTGCTCTTTCAGAAAGTTAAACTATAGGTATTATACCAGTTAATGATCAACCATTGTATGCCCTTGTTATCTTTGACAAATAGAGTATGCAATTCTAAATTTAGGCACCTATTGTCCTCTGGTTGATTATACTCTTCCTAGTGCAGCTGTGATCAGTTGTTTTGGGAAGCTCCACGTGTGTGGTCTGTGATGGCAGGGGTAGCAGAGGACTCTGCCAACACCCAGTGTACGCCTCTGTACCCACCTCTCCTTGAGTGCACAGCGTGGTGGTGTCTACTCTGTAGTGCTTATACAACAGCTAACGTTCCTGTTGCATTGTACCTTGAACTCTGAAGGTTTTGATGTTCCTGTGCACAAGTAAACATTTTTAAAAAATATTTTGATGATTCATTTTTGAGCCCTTTTAGGTTTATATTACTAGCATTTATCTCGTGTAGATTCAGATGGTACCTTGCGAGCACTATGAGGGAAGTGCTTACAGTAAAGCCTGGTTTAAACTTCTGCAGCCAGAATTTTGATAAAAATCAGAGTTGAGGCGATGCAGACTGTGAAGGTTTTTGAAGTGAGAACTTTCCTAATGGCATAACAGTGTCCCTCGTAGAGTCTTATGCTTTAGTTGCATCCTATTTGCTCGGAAAGAGTTTCCCCCTTGTTTCATCCCCTGCCCATACAGCAACTACTGAGACAAAGCCAGTATTGTTCCCACATACTGCCTTATTACAGGGCTCAGTATGTCTGCGTCCTCTCCCAACACAGCTGGACACAGGCAAGCTGTGAGAACTGTGGGCAGCACGTCGCTCTCTGCAGGACTTGCTGTCTCAGTTTGTAAATGTCGTGCTGGGTCAGAGCTGGCTCTAGTCCAGCCAGCTTGAAATGCAGGTGAACCACAAGTTTAAAAAAAATGGTTTAATGCCATACCCGATATAAACTGGTAAGTCCACATGTAGTTTTTATTTGGATTTAAAATGGATTAAATATGATTTTTATCAATGCTAAGGCCAAATATCTGATGGTGATATTTGTGAGCTTGCCAGCATTAAAAAAAAAAAAAAAAGGTATAATTTTCATAAGACTATTCAAGACTTGTGACAGTATTAAAAGCTTATAGATTTTTATATAGAAGAGAATTGGGCCCTTTTTTAATGGCTGATTGGCACCATTACATTTAGTTTTCATTGTTAGCAATTTTTGCCTCTTGCAGCATTTTTTTAAATACCAAATCCAAGCAGGGAACAGGAAGGTGACTGGCTATGACAGACTTTACTGAAGTCAAATGAAAGAGTTGCTGCAATATTAAGGGATCTCTTAGCAACCCACCCCTCTAGTTGTCCATGTCTCTGTCACGGCTGTGTCCCATCCCCTTGTGGTCTGTGTCCTGTGTCCCCCCACACCAATATTGTCAGTAAAAAGGCTTTGTCATTGACGTTTCCATAATTCGTAACTTTCAGCCATTGTGTTGTCTCTTTTGTAGAGGGCAGCTCAGTGAGTGATGTTATCACTTATTGCAAACAGTGGACCTGAGATAAAAGCAAACCCTGATTTTAAATAAATAAATAGAAACCACCCACAGAAAAAACCCTCAACCAGACAACCTGACCGTATTCTGACAGAAGCCTGAGGGAGCTCAGGCTGGCTGTTAAAATAGCAGCCACAGCCGCTTCCTTTGCTCCTAGGCCTCTTGTGCATTTTGGTGCTGCCATGTTTAAGAACATGTTCCCCCCACACTTTATAAGGATATTTCTGGTATACAGGAAAACTTTGGTTTGAGTCTTTTGTGAACTGAGTTCAGAAACGGAAGTGGTGTGCTGTTGTATGGGTTTTGTTGTTGATTTTTTGAAAAAAGATAGCTGCACTTCCTGTAGATGTTAAAATTTCGGTTATGCTTCTCTCTCCCAGGATTTTGAGGAAGGATGCTTTCTACTCACAAAATGTGATGCCATTCACACAACTCAACAGGAAATCTACCCTACTGACAAAGGAAGTGTTATAGTATCTTTCTTGTCAGCTATGTTCAGACCTTTTGTAGAAGGTTATCAGGTATGTTGTTCTTTGGGAAATTATCTGTTTTCTCCCATGTTTTATAGGGAGACTAGGAGAGCTGTGACCAATAGTGACTGTTTTTATGGCTGGGGAGCACAAGAGTTGAGAAATAGCAGTAACAAATATCTTAAACATCACCCTCCCGCCAGGATCTTAATTTCAGCTTTTGGCTCAGACTTTTCCAATTGACTAAAGCAGCAACTCCCTTGTAATGTGATGGCCCATTGTGGGTTGATAAGCTTCATGGGGAGTGTGCTGCTACCAGGTGTATTGCTCATGAGGAGCTCTTGCTTAATTAATATTATGTGGGCTGTCCTGCCAGGTGTAGAAATGAGTTTGCATCTCATAACTGATAACTTTTTTTGGGAGTCATTACTTTCATCTGTATCTCTTTAAATTATTTGTTTTTCTAAGGTTTCAATAAGACTAACACTTATGCCCCTGTAACAAGCACTGTATACAAGAATAGGAGGCTTAACTCTCTGGTATGTCAGCATAACATTGGTGGGAATGTAGACGTTTGAGCCTAGTGGAATCTGTTAATGATCTGGTAGTTGATTTGGGCTGAGCTGTACAGATTTCCTCAGTTTTTCCCACCTGTAAAACAGGTATTGCTTAAAAAAATTATACTGCTTTTGATTGTGAGAACAGGAATATTAAATTGATGTCTAGGATAACTATTATAGTAATACTAAATCTTACTTTAATATTAGGGTTCTCATGCCTGTTGAACAATAATAAAAATTTCAGATGCTCTATGTAATGATATCCTTAGAGTTCCTCTCCTACACTTTGTTACTTCTCCTACATCTCCTACACGATGTTACTTCCTTATGATGGCATTTTGTTTGTAATTAATAAAAAATTGACAATCAAAAGGGAAGAAGTGCTAATTCTTTTTTGGTAAATGTTAGTTAATTTTCAGATACCTCTCAAAGGAAACAAAAGAAGCCTTTACTGAGAAGCAGTTCGTACCCGCAGTCCGCAACTTTGTTTTTCAACTTCTGGAGAAGGGTGTGTATGGCCATTATGCAACATAATTTTACAAGTGTAGCCTGTCAATGGATAGTGATAAAACTTCTAATTGTGTTTCTGCTTTCTCTGTAGGGAATACGCAGTGTTATGAAGCGCTGTCTTCTGACATGCAGAAAAATGCCTTAGCAGCTCTTGTGCAACTGGGTGCAGTGAAGAAGAAGAAAATGTAAGTAACATTGCCTTTTTGGTGTATAGAAGTCAGCCTGGAGTTTTACTGGCAATTCTTAATGACTGAGCTATTAGTATCAAGCAAACAGCAGAACCCTGACTGCCTGAGCATCAGTCAACTGAAGGTTGATTGGATTTACCCGAGTTGTGGTGAAGACCCAGGTAGTTCTTCTCTGTACGTATCGCAGAAGCAGAACGGCACCCCCTCATAGTGAAAACACCCCTGTGGGACCCAGCAAGAAAATTTATTCACTCACCAGTAGGCTTCTTCTGACTCCCTTTACCTTTTGGTTTTCAAAGTTTCTCCCAAGGCTTTGTTAAGCAAATAGAACAGTCCTGCTTGCTTTTAATAGAAGAGTTACTGTGTGTTATAATAAGCCTCATCAGGCAACATAAGCAATAATCAGGAATACTACTAATGGGGGGAGCAGTGGGTGTTCAGCACTGACATCTCAAGGCAATTTAGTTGAAAGCTTAGTCATTAAAGACTTTTAACATAGTTGGTATATGCCTAAGATTAAAAAAAACCTATTGTTATACAAAAAATATGGTGACATGCATTTCCTTATCAAATTAATTTGTGTTGTGGGGCTTCTTACTGTATTTGAAAGTATAATCATGAAAGTCCCTGATACAAGAAATCCCCACATTGTCTTGAGTATTTTGCAGAACACAGTTGGCTGCTGCTGACCCTGGGCTATTTTCTTATGCCTCTGTTCAGGAAATGAATTGGTTAAGGTTTGTAGCGCTCTTGGAAAGTGCACAAAGTACTGTTGTTTGTTAGGTCCCCTGCCATGTCACTGTGCTAAATAGATGCCTACAGCTAAATTCCTCTTTCATGTAAAAGGTGTAAGTCACTCGATGTGCAACAGAATTTGACGTCAGCTGAAGATTTGGTTCAGTTTCAGAGAGATAGTCTTGAAAAATATATGATTGAAAACAAACAAATGTTCTCTTCTCGTTATTCCTAATGAAAATCAGGGGAAGAGACAGATGTAGGGAGAGGGAAGGATAAAGAAACTATAACTGTCTTTGAGTACAATCTACTTAGAAGTTTTCCCAGTGCTTAAAATTAATGTATATGCTGATAAGATGAAAAATATGTAATTATGAAAATGCTTAATTTAGATTATTTGGAATAAGAAATATTCATTGAAGAAACAGCGTTTGTTTTCTTCTTTTAACTGTAGGTCGAATGGATTCACTTACAGTGTAAATCAAGAGGCTGTTAGTAAAATCCTGGACATGTTTGGTAAGTGTTCTCCAATTAATTTGAGGAGAGCTTCCCAAGTTATAAATTACTTTGGACAGTGCACGTAGGTTAGATGTAGTGTTTTTTTCCCTTAGTAATGCCTTAGATATATCTCTATAAAAATCCCAATGATATTTTTTTTACAGTGCTTTTTCTGGTGTCATTAACCACAGCTTTGCATCGCCCTTCTTTACTTGAAATACCGTGCAACTCAGTGACAAAGGAAAAGAAAGCAAAAAAAAAAAGTAGTGGAGGGGCAGGCTGGAGAGCTGGGCAGAGGAGAACCTAATGAGGTTCAACACGGGCAAATGTAGGGTCCTGCACCTGGGGAGGAAGAACCCCAGGAACCATTATAGGTTAGGGGTGGATCTTCTGCAAAGCACTACGGAGGAGAAGGATCTGAGAGTCCTAGTGGATAGCAAACTTCCCATGAGCCAGCAATGTGCCCTTGTTGCCAAGAGGGACAATGGAATCCTGGGCTGCAAAGGGAGAAATGTGGCCAGTAGGTTGAGGGAGGTCATTCTCCCCCTCTGGTCTGCACTGGTGAGGTCACAACTGGAATACTGCATCCAACTCTGGGCTCCCCAGTTCAAGAGAGACAGGGAACTACTGGAGAAAGTCCAGCATAGGGCAACTAGGATGATTAAGGGATTGGAGCACCTCCCTTATGAGGAAAGGCTCAAAGAGCTGGGGGTCTTTAGCCTGGAGAAGAGAAGGCTGAGGGGGGACCTTATCTATGTTCACAAGTATCTAAAGGGTGGGTTGAAGGATGATGGAGCCGGACTCTCTTCAGCAGTTTCCAGCAACAGGATGAGGGGCATTGGGAACAAGCTGGAACATAGGAAGTTCCATTCAAATACGAGGAAAAGCTTCTTTATGGTGAGAATGACGGAGCACTGGAACAGGCTGCCCAGGGAGGTCGTGGAGTCCCCTTTTTTGGAGATTTTCAAGACCCGCCTGGATGCAGTCCAGAGTGATGTGCTCTGGGCCATCCTGCTTTGGCAGGGGAGTTGGACTAGGTGATCTCTAGAGGTCCGTTCCAATTCTGATGATTCCATGATTTACAGAATTTTGATGAGAAGCGTTTACCTTTGGCTTTTTTTTTTTTTTTTTTTTTTTTTAAATTAGATGCCAGGATACCTGTACAGAAACCCATGGCTGCACGACTCTGAGGGTTTCCTCACGCTGTGACTGGACGTGAGGAGGCCACAGGTGTTCTTCAGCTCTCCCAGTACCACTTAAAAACTGTATTTGTATCCTCACTGTATTGTGTGTTTTTTTTTTTTAAAGAGATATTTAAAGAGGAGCGCGCAGTAACGGCTACTTAAATACCTTTTTTTTTTTTTTTTTTTTCCCTTTCTTGTAACGAGGAATGTGATTGCAAATATTTCATGGCTGTGAAAAATGTAACGGGGGGGAATTTAAAAATACTTGCTATTAAAATTGATATTTAGAAAAAAAAAAGGGTAGTTTTTGGCTGAATAAAAGAGGGGCGGAGGGCCCGCCCCTTGCGTCGACAAGATGGCGGCCGGCGTGGAGCTGGGTTTCGCCGCGGCGCCGGGCCCGGGCGGCGCCTGGCGGCTGCGCAGCCCTTACTTCCCCAGCAAGATCGGAGGGTTGCCGGCATGGCTAGGGGAGGCGGGTTTGCCCAGCCCGGCCGCTCTGCGCTGCCCTCGTTGCCGTCAGCCCCGTTCCTTCCTTCTCCAACTGTACGCCCCGCTGCCTCAGCGCCCCGACGCCTTCCACCGTACCCTCTTCGTCTTCGCCTGCCGCGGTGCCTCCTGCTACCGCCTGCCGGGCCCGCTGGGGCCTCTTTGCGGTGAGGGGGTGGGTGGGGAGGTGGGGGAGGCGAAGGGGGGACGGGGGTGACGGCCGCGGCCTCCCCCCAACGGCCGCGGCCCACCCCTGACAGCCGCCTCTCCGCCCGCAGTGTTTCGGAACCAGCTGCCGCGACGGAACGACACTTATCCGGAGGAGCCGCCCCCCGAGGACCCACCGCCGGAACTCTCCTCCGCGCCCCCGTGCCGGCTCCGCTGCGGAACCGCTCTCTGCCGCGTCTGCGGTTGCCTGGGGCCTCACGTCTGCGGGCGCTGCCGCCACGCCGCATACTGCGGCCCCGAGCACCAGGCGCTGGACTGGCGGGGGGGGGGCCGGCGGG